TTCTCCTCACGTCATCCATTAATTTTTTCCTTCTATTTTTTTTAAATTTTGTTGAGTGAAGTAAGAAATTGCGTAATTGTATTTGTGACGTTTTTTTCCGTTCGATGCTTTATATTTAAGCTATCATGGCTTTTTATTAATACCATAGGTTGTCAGGGATAGCTTGATAAAAAGTCTTGAGTTTAAGTCTTAAATATATACAGTAACAATTAAATTCTCAATATCCGTCAAAAAATTTCACAAGCTGCTGGTTAAATTAGTTTAGCCAAAAATTGAAGCACCTACTTCCTTCAAAGTATAATAATCGCATTTTTTAAAAGTATTCATAATAAATAAATTATTTTATATTTATTTTAAAATAAAACACTCATATCTAATATAAAAAAATAGTATTAATTTAAAAAAATAATTATTTTATTAAGGTGAGATTTAATAAAAATAAATTATATTTTTCAATAAAAAAAGTGTTTTTGTTTGTTTTTGGGCCTTACCGCTTAAGGAACTTGCAGTAGATTGGGATGGGGAAATTTCTTTTATGATTGCAGAGTAGTTATCGGGAAGGAAGGGCTAAAATCAAATGGAAGATAAAGGAAAAAAGGAATACTAAGTTTTTCTATGCCATGTTAGTAACAAGATCAAAAATCATATCAAGAGGCTAAAAAGAACAGATGACACGTGGTCGAATAACCAAGTTGAGCTTCTCAACATGATTTGGTCTCATACTCATCCTTCTCTTCTTTCAATGTATCTCTCTTACTCGAGGAATTTAGAGATCATGACATCTTCGTCTCACAAATTTTAGAAGATGACTTTAGGTTGCTTGATACTTAGATCTTTGAGAATGAAATTAAAAATGCCGTTTTCCAACTCCCTAAAGAGAGCTCCCCTGGTCTTAATGATTTTGATGCATCTTTCTTTCCAAACAAAACAAAAAAAAAATAATTTGATTAGACAGGACCTTTTTCACATGACATGCTCTTTTTAGAATTTAGGGCATATCCTTACTATCTTCAATAAAACCTTCATCAACCTTGTTCCTTATTCCCATGCATAATAATCCTGTTACCTTTGCGTGATCTTAGACCAATTAGACTCTATAATGTATAATCTACAAAATTTTCTCCAAGATCATTAGTAACAAACTAAAACCAATATTATCTAAGCTAATCTCTCCTTTTTAAACTGCTTATATAAAAGGAGGACTTATTAAATACAATATCTTTTTAGCTACAGAGTTAATGCATCAAGTTTACTCATCTATAGTTAAAAAGAAGAAATTAGCTGCTTGAAAGATTGACTTTGTAAAAGCTTTTGATAGAATATCTTAATCTTTTATTGAGACTGTCATTGTTAAGATGAATGTTCCAACAAAGTTGATTAAACTGATTTTACAATGTATCTTCATGGTGCATTATCAAATTCTTTTTAATGGTAAAACTACACTTTCGATATATCCTTCAAATGGAATTAGGCAAGGAGATCCCTTTCCCCTTTACATATACATTTTTGTTGCAAATATTCTATTTAGGCTCATCTTGTGCAAGGAACAATTAGGTGCTTTGAAGGGTATTAAAATCTACAATGATGCATACTCAATTATGCATCTTTTGTATGTAGATGACTCAAAACTATTATTTGAATGTAACAATTTTGGTCTTACTAGGGTTAAGGCTATTTTGCATGCTTTTTGCAAGTGGTTTGGATTAGATATCAATAAGGATAAACCCATCATGGTTCTCAATCCTAACATAACTCTTGACATGAAGACGTGTAATGCTTGCTTGGTAATACTCTCAAGATAAAATATAGTGATTTCTCCAGTCATATTAAACTGAAAAAGACGTGTAATGCTTTTGGAAGGGTATCTTAGATTCTCAAGATATCATCCTTAAAAATTTAAAATGGCAAATAGGTTTTGGAATTAATATTCTGATTGATCATGAGTTTTGGTGCAAATCGATTGGCCACAATTTGCTTAATAGATTTGATATCAACCACATGTTTGATCTCATTATTCATAGAAATTTACCATGTTCTCCTTGTAATTGAAATAGAGATTTGATTTAGCAAATTTATAGGCTTCAAGACGCTCAAGCCATTCTCAAAAGTCCTTTTTCCTTGTTTTCTCAAGATGATAAGCTAGTTTGGTCATGAAGCATTACTCTGTTAAAGATGGCTTTTCTTTCACCTGTTGGTACCAAACTTCTTTCTTGAATGAATCCTTTTAGAGTTCTCTTTAGAAAATTAAATTGCCTTAAAAGCAACTTTAATTTGTATGGAAGCTAATCCATTCAGCAATATCAATTGGAGACATTCTTCGAAAATATCATTTGGATGTACAATCTCAATGTGTCTTTGAAGGTCTTGATTCTGATCAAAAATACATCTATTTGGTAGTTGTAATTATACTAGACTTATATGGTTTAATGCTTTGTCTCTCCCCTCCTCAGATATTGAGGCTGTTGGATTGTCTAACTGTATTATTTCTATGTTGTCTTACTTACACAAAATTGAGTTGATCTTCAATTAAGAGGTATTATTATACTCCTCAATTTCATTTGGCAAAAGAGGAACATTGCTTTTTATAATGGAATTATCCATAACCTTAATCAAGTTTTATTGGAATTTCACAGTCAATGTCACTATCTTTTTTTATGCATGTAATTGGTATGATATTAGTGACATAAATAGTTTTTTACGTAGCTCTACCTGGTTATGCTTGGAATCGTCATCCAACAGTACTCCTTATTTGGAATTGAAATATTAGGATGAACAAATTTAAAAGAGGTGGTAGTGTTTACTATACTACTATCTTATACATCAACTCTAAACCTAGTACGAGCTTTGTTTGGAAACATTCTTTGGGAAGCTTTGGTGCATGTTTGGATTACACTCTAACCCCAATTAGAATAGGTTTAACTGAGGTTAGGATGCAAAATGCTAAAAAAAATTGTTTGGATTAGCAAAAATTTTCAACCTTAGTTAGCTTATAAATGTGCGTTATCTAAAAAGCCAACTGATTTGGCTTTTCCCTTCTCAGCATTCACGTTTGCCCGTTGGAAGCATTAAATGCATTTTAAATTTTATTGCTTTCTCTCTCTTGTCTTCCATCTACCCGATCTGCACCTTGCTTCCTGTGCATGCTGCTTTACCCGTGACCTCCTATTTTGCTTCAAAACTGCTTTAAAACACACTTCTAGATCTGCTTCCTTCGGCCAATCGTCTGCTTCCTTCAGCGCCGATCTCCAGCTTTCCACCATGTCCCTGCTTTGATCTCCAGCTCTCTTCTGTTAGTCATTTTTCTATCGATCTCTAGCATACCACTGTGCCCCTGCTCCAATCTCTAGTTCTATTTTGTTAGTCTTTTTTTTTATCGATCTCCAGCTTTCCATCATGCCCCTGCTCCAAAGTGCTTCTTCTCGCTGTTGCCTCTCAATCTCCTAAAAAGCCACCAGATATGTACTTCCTATTGCTGGATCTACTCCCCATCGCTTGTCCTTGCCAAGTAAGGTCGTTCTTTTTGTCTCCTTCATTGCCTTATTTCCTGTTGTGCTCTGCTATTCCTTCTTTGAAGACTTCTTCCTTCACTTGTCATGCGCTGCTGCTCCAAGAAGTGATATGTGCTTGTTATTCTCTCATGTCTATCCCCTGTTTGTTTATTTTAGAGCAGAGGAAGATATAATGCGTGCACATTTGTTTCCTATCCTACTTGTTATTCTCTTTACTTTCCATTCCCTGTTCATTTTTGGAACTCGAGTTGCTAATGTTCATTTTCTTTTTCAATCTCATGCGATGAGAAATGCATGTGTGTAACATGAGTACAGATGCCCATAAGATGCATTTTTGGAACTCGGTTATTTATAATGCTGTTAGACCAGTCATCTTTTCTGCATTTCTGGAACTCACTTGTTATGTCTTCCTCGAATAGTTTGTGAAGCCATAGATTGCTTTGCTTGTAGTGTCTCATCTGAAATTATTATTGAAGTGTTTCCAAGGCTTTCATGCTCTGACTTGAAGGATATTTATGTTGTTTGCTGTTTTCATATTGACATGAAAATGAGCAGTGGTCATTCAATATTTTGAGCTTTTTGGTATGTTATGATTGGCTTATCCTGTTACTGGAAAGAATAGGTGGTGGGTGTCTACTGATTCTAAATTGCATGCATGAACATTACATACAATTGCCTTTAAATGAGTAAACGTGTCTGCTATCTGTAATGTTGATTACTTGATTTATTAGACCTATATTTATTAACCTGAATAGTAAATAGAGTGGATGCAGGTAACCATTGCCAGGGGGCTATGTGTGTTAAAATTTTCATTTAATCATGCATTTGATGGTCTTAATTTTTTTCTTTTTGGGAGTAAGGTTATGACAGAGTAAAGTTTTTTTTTTCAATTAATCTCAATCAATCTTCTACAGCTCAGGAGAGAGGATTTGTAAATATAGCACAATTATTATCATTATCATGAGTAGCTATGACGATCCAATTAGCATATTTATTAGTTTCCTTTTGTACTAGCTCTCTTTTATACATGATCCATGCTATAGCATCTTTTTTATTATAACTTTCTAACTTAGAGTCTTGTAGATATCAAGGATGCGTGCAGTAGTATGTAACACACATTAAAATGTGAAATCAAATTAAAAAATTAAAGCTACGAGTGACATGCATATTATGCATTATACTATTATCATTGTGGCAATTTTACAATATTAAGCACCAATTGTAAATGCTAAAGGTCATATGATTCATAAGTCAAATGCTTAAGCATGCCTCAGCTTCCTCCTGTTGCACTTTAGCTTGCTCTAATTCTTACTTGTGCTTCAATTCTTTTTATGCAAGTTGCATTATTTTAAATTTTTGTTTTTCATTATATAAACTCCATGAATTTGAAAAATGCCAAACTGAAAATAGGAGATATATATTGATTTTTCATATATGTAGAGATATATAATAATTTTGCATGTTTGTGATAGCTAGCTAGTCTATACAATAATGAACAGCGATAAAGGAAAAGCTGTGTGGAATTCAACTTTAACAAAAATTTTCATTAAAGAATGCTTGGAACAAGTGTACAAGAAACAAAGGAAAGGAACTACTTTCAATAAAAATGGGTGGCAGGCAATAATTGAGGGGTTTGAGGCAAAAACAGGAAAAAGTTATGAGCAAAAGCAATTGAAAAATAAGCTAGATAACATGAGGAAAGAATGGAACGTATGGCATAAGTTGTTTTCAAGTAAAACTGACTTAAGGTGGGACAGTGACAGGAATACTGTTGATGCTTTAGATGAGTGGTGGGAGTGAAAAATCTTGGTATGGATTAGTTATCGAGTGTTTTTAAGATTAGAATTTAATTTGAGAATTTTAATTGTTGGTTATTTGAATGGTTGCAGGAAAATCCTCTTTATGGAAAATTTAGATATAAAGGTCTAAGATTTGCAAGGGAATTAACCTTGATATTCAAGGATGTCATGGCAACTGGGGAGACACTTTTTGTACCATTTGCTACCCAGACCCAAATAGAGGATGATGATGATGAGGATGTGTATTGCCCTACTATTGACCTTTGAGAAGGCTATGATGATAGTGAAGAGGAGCTAAATTTATCTGACACTGCAGCACCTATGGGGGTCACTGGTGAGTTATTGGACTTGAATGTCACCACGAATATCGGTGGAACTAGTGGTGACAGAAGTCAAGGCAAGAGAAAGAGGGTGGTAGGCATTGGTGGGAGGAAAAAGCAAAAAGTCCCTGCCTTAATGAAAATAGCAGATGCGATGAGTGAAATGGCCAAGGATAATAAAGCTAGAACAGAGACAGTGAACAAGATTTTGGCAAATGACCTAGGAGTTTCTGAGGTTGTAGCTCACCTAAATAGACTCCCAGAAGTTTTTGGTGATAAAAATTTGCATTGGAGATGTGTCAATCTTGTTTTGTACAAGCCTATGCGAGATGCTTACTGACAACTTAAAGATCATCCTAATCACTTGGTTAATTAGTTGAAGCACTAAGTCTACCATCTATCAGATTTTATTTCAAAGAATACATCTAGATGAATTTTTATCTAGGCTTATGATGACTTGACTTGTGTTTGACTTGTAGTTGCTTTATTTTGACTTGTGTTTGACTTGTAGTTACTTTATTTTGACTTGTAGTTTGCTATGCAAATGATGACTTGCTTTGTAGCGAATATTTAACTCTTATTTAATGCTTATCTTATGCTTTATCTTTTATGTTGTTGAATGATATTTATATACTATGCATTTTATATTATATACAAATGATATTTACATACTATTTTACCTCAAGTTTAAAAATTATGGAAGATTCGAATGAATATATGTTGGGTTGGAATGAAGGTTGGGATGTAGATGTGGCTCATCAACTACTTCCCTTGTTACAGCAAGATATAACGGAGCAAAAAAAAATGTCAATTAGTTAGTGAATATGTGATGCCATATGTGTGTAAAGAGCCACGGAGAACTAGCATGTAAACAGGATAAATGTGGGTTAATGATATTTTGCAAGGTTTATGAAATGTTTCGAATAGAAAAACATTTGTTCAGGCAACTGTGTGCGACACTAGTTGATCTTGATATAAAGAAGTCTAAAAAATGGGAGTTGAAGAAATGATTGGAATGTTTTTAAATACAGTTAGACATCGAGTTGGTAATAGGATGATATAGGAACAATTTCAGTATTCAAGGGAAACTATCCATAGAAATTTTCATAAAGTATTAGCTGCCTACCTTAACCTTTCCAAGGAAAACATAAAGCCACTTAATCCTTTGTTTCAACGATGTCATTCAAAAATTCAAAATGATCCACAATGTTGCCTATTCTTTAAGGATGCTATAGGAGCAATCGATGGCACTCATGTGCCATGTGTGGTTAGTGTTGCTGATCAAGTCAAATTCATTGGAAGAAAGGGATATGCAACACAGAATGTTATGGCTGTATGTGATTGGTGTAAAGGGCGTCCTAAATTAGGACTTAATCATTATACTAACCATGATTAATCAAGGACTAATCCAAATGGATTATCTAATACGAGATTAACCCAAATGAATTTTTAATATGTATTTTTTTTCAAACTATTTAATATAAAGGGATCCCAAGTCTTTAAAATATTTTAAGAACTCATATCATTCAATTAAACCTATACGGAAGCATGATAATAACTATTTTTGCTTGCACAAATATTTTGGCTTGTAATTATAGCACAAGTATCAAACCATATTCTCCAGGGCCCAAAATACATTTCTCCCAACACAAAACCCATAATGCAAGTGGATTAAGAATATATTAACCTAGTTGGCAATATTATAGACTAAATACACATATCAAATAAAAGGAGAGAGGCCTACAGAAGTGATTATTATCACTTGGCCTAATGCTCCTTTCCTCTGTTCTTTTGAGATGAGCTAGCTCCTATAATATGTTAAAAGAGAGAGGTGAGTACAACCACTCAGTAACCAAGGTATATCTAAGTTATATAAATGCATGATAATTAATCATGAATGCAAGTGGCTAATAAATTTATCAAGGTGACCATTTAAACAATCACATTAATAACATGTTAATCACATTAACATTTAACTCATGTGAATAATTTCAAGAATAAAGTCAAGTATAAAATTTGCACAAATAATCACATACACATTATTCACATAATTACTGCATGTTCTCATTTCTACAATTATAATCATATTCTCAACATAGCCATCAATCACTCAAATGGCATGATAGTAATAATATGCATGATCAATCTCTTTCTTATATCCCCCCTTATTTTCTTTGACATGAAATTCGTGGGCCAACAACCAGAAGGGATCGTCCATGTGGTGAGACTATCCAAAGCCTTAATCATATCATGAGGGACTACCCGGCCAGGGTTACCTTACTCACTTATGAACATGGTTTCCCCCAAATCACATACTATAGGGTGTCATACCCAAAACTAGCTCTACCCAAAACTTCAGGTAGGCTAGTAGGGTTAAGTCCCTTAATAGGAACAATGCTACAGTACCTTACAAGGTAAGTAGCGGCTATAACCCCTGGGATTATTGGTTAATAGCCAAGTACCGCATGGATTTTGCATAGCCGCTAACTCCTTCACTAAGGCGAACTCCTGTCATATGATCATACTTATGAGAAAATGCATTTCAAAAAAACTCATATATATATATATATATATAATTCAAAATTATCCCACATGCTCATCAACTTTCTTGCTCAACAAACATCAAGAATCATCATATTTTAATCATGCCTCTTGCATCAATTTTTAAATTATCATACAAAACCACATTAGCATCATATAAAACTCAACATGCTCATACAATTTATTATTGTGCATAATCCACAACTTATATCCAAGAATGTACACATAATCATCAACCATCAATCTCATTACTCACACCAAGTCATACTTAACTTGGTCACAAGTCATAGAGTCTCAACAAAGCTACATGCATTACAAACAATCATTTCAAAATTTAGACATATATATATATATATATATATATTCTTTTATTTCACCAACATAATTAATTAAGTAACATACAAATGTATAAAATAGATTTTCCTCGATTACTTCAACCTTTGAGAGGTCAAAGGTTACCCTCAAGTTACAACACTTACAAAGCTTTCCAAAGCTTGAATGGTGTCAAAAGAAAATTAATCTATAATTGATCATATCCTAATGTGTCAATAATATTATTAATACAATTTTCACTTATACTCTAACACCTAAGTATGTATTTTATTTTATTTTATATTTTTTTTAAGAACTTAGTCTTAGTCTCTTGAATTCTAAAATTTAATTTCATGTATTTGAACCTATCTACTTGATTCGATAGTCTCCTTTACAATAATTTCATTCAAATAATTTTTTAATATTAAAATTTCTCTTTTTATTCCAAAAATTCGCACATAAAAATACCCAAAAATTACAAACTTGATTTCAAGCCTAGAATCATTATTCTATAACCATAATAATTTATTTCTCATCTCAAATAATTATCTAAATATCAACAAATCAATTTATATTTTCAGATTTAACCAAAAATCTACCCATAGGGATCTAGGGATAAACTCAAATGCCTCAAATTCCAATTCTATCAACAAAATAATATTCTAGAATATTTATTACACTACTAACAACATCAAAAACTATATTTATTTAACATAAATTCATTTCTCTTTCAGACCCTAGGTTTTCTAAAGTTTCAGAATCTGCAGCTCAAAGAGAAAAATGAGTAAAAAAATGTTTAGAACACTTACCTAGTCATAGAATACTTAAAATCTCATCTGAAATATTTTACTATGGAGCTTCACCTTCTAAATCAACTCCTCTAGCTGCAGCGTTGCTCGCTCTCTGTGTATGGATGCAGAAACGGAAAGGAAGAAGAGAATGAAAAGCCAGAAGTCTTTGGCTTGTTTTATTTTAAAATGGTCTGGGTCCCACATAATAATTCATACTCTTACTTTCTTTTTTTTTATTATTTTATATATATATATAATCATTGCAACACGCGGACGCCGAAAGCTCTCTTCTTCTTCTCTTCTTTTTTTTTTTTGCATTATTTACACCTCAACACTTAAAGCGAAAATTACTTCTCTTCCCCCTCTAATTTTCAATTTATTTTATGTTCCTTTTCCTTCTTCTTCTTCTTCTTTTTTAATAATATTATCATTACTATTTCTATTTACTATAAGATCATAACTTAAAATTTTAATCTAAATTAAATCCAATAATAATTTTCTAACTAAAATTATTTATATCTAAATATTCTTTCAAAATTACTCATTTGCTCTAAATTAACTTAATTAACCTTAGGTTAATTTTTTTGGGATGTTACAATTGAGACATGTGTTTTACTTTTGTCATTACGGGATGGGAAGGTACGGCTCATGATGCTCGAGTATTTGATAATGCCATATCAACTCCTTCAATGCATTTTTTGCATCCACCTCCAGGCATATTTTATTAAAGTCACTATAATTATTATTGCATTGATTTAATGTTGGTCAAATTTACATCACTTCCTTTTATTTAATAGGTAAATATTATTTGGTTGATTCTGGTTATCCAACACTAAATGGGTATCTTGGTCCATATCGTTGCGAACATTATCACCTTCCAGACTTTAGACGAGTTGCAAGATTTGCAAACAATAATGAGGTCTTCAATTATTATCATTCAAGTCTGAGATACACTATAGAAAGAACTTTTGGAGTGTGGAAGAATAGGTTTGCAATTATATGAAAAATATCAAATTTAAATATAAAACACAAGTTCAAATTGTTTGTGCAACAATGACAATACATAATTTTATTAGGAGAAATTTAATTACTGATGAGTAGTTCATACAAGCTGAAGATGAAAGTGTAGAAGTCCAAGAGGAAGATATCGATATTGGTAAAACATCCTCGTCAAATCTACTCGAATTATCAAGACAGATGCAGCATGTTCGTGATACAATTAGAGATCAACTTGTAAATCATATCAATTAAATATTAATTTATTTTAAGTTTTCATGGTTGAATATTCAAAATATTTTACTTATTAGTTGTGATTTTAAGTTTAATATTTTTTTACTTATTAGTTAGCCAAAAAAATTTAAACATACTTATTTAAGATTTAATATTTAAGATAAAAAAATTTATGCTTATTTTTATTATTAAATATTTCAATTGGCTTTTGAATTAAACCATCCAAATGAATTTCAGTTTATCTGACTGACTTTAAAAAAAATAATATTCAAACATAAATCACGTTATATCAACTGATTTTTTTTAATCTCAATTTGCTAACCTCAGTTGAATACTAATCTCAATTATAAATTTTTTAATCTAAATACACCCTTCATCTATTGAGCCTAATTCTTTCATTTTGTTTTGCCTTAAAAGCCATGCTCATATGGATCAAGAACCAAACAAATAGAGATTTATTGATTGA